ACTAATATGACACTTCAATTATTTTCTCTGTCTCAATTTGCTTGTCCTATTCAGAATCAGTGAGATTATATTAATAGAAATATAAATACTTGACAATCGACAAACAGACAGAGATAGAGGAACAAAAGATAAATTGCATTGAGAAAAATAAAAGTAAGGATAAAACATTATTCTAGTTCAATAATTGTCTTTGGAACATCTTTCTTTATTTTTTTTAAAATTTTATAATATATATAGGAGGCACGAAAAATAGGGGAGGGAATTACAAAGTGAAGAATTAAATCCTCATCAATAAGGTAAACGTTCGGATAACCAATTAACTGCATCACTAAGATTTTCTAGTCTTTGGAACATCTTTCATGCTTTATCAAAATATTATAAAGATAAAAAAACTTTGTTAAATAAAAGAAATGACATACAGAGTCGAAGCTAGAATTTGAAGCTTATGGATTCAGAATTCTAATTTTTCTAAATTATTGGTTCTAAATTGATAATAAGATAAAGTTCAGATAGCCAACTAACTGCATTACTAAGATTTTCTTGTCTTTGCAACATTTTATGTCTGTAGAAGTCTTTATCAAAATACTATAAATATCCAAAAACTTCGTTAAATAAGAGAATGACAAACATGCGGAATCAGAATTTGAAACTTATGGGTTCGGATTTTTTTTTATCTTATTGAATTCTAAATTGATCGTTTGTACATATTACGTGAATTTTTTAAAATAAATACAACGTTTGAATAAAAGCTACTGACTGCCGAACCTGTTTTTTGGCACTCTAGATCCGCCCGTGATGACAAATATCTTGAAAGCTTCCTTATCCATAAGAAATTTGTTGTCATAGAAATATAGAATGAAGATTAAATTTGTGCAGCTGATAATAAAAATAATTAAGCCATTAACCAGATGAAATTAATTATCCATTGGATTTCATGCAATAATGTCATTGTCCTTATAATCTTTCTCAAAATGAACAGGCAGAACCCTGTTAGGATCGAAAAATTAGGTGTTATGCGGAAGCTAGCAAAGCAAACCTTCAACGACGATAAATCAGACAACAAAAGAGAAATCTACCAAAAGAGACACAAACATTTAACGTGGTCCGGTCAACTGACCTATGTCCACGACGGAGATGAACAATCCACTATATAAAAAAAGAGTACATAATATCGAGAGAATAACCTCACGAAGAGGCAAACACAAGTGACACACTAACACTTGTCTCGTAAAATTCTCCCCCTAAACACGACTCTCAAGCCCCCTATGGCTACATTGTGTATGCTACTGAATGAGAATGACGGATCTTCAATTTATAGAAGTCCAAACCTTTTCCTACAAGAAAAAGGACTAGCCAAGTATAGGAGAATTATAATTTTCTTCTACAAAAAGGAAAACCCAGTTAAGGTAATTATATTGTCATTTCCTTCAACAAATAGGAAAATCAAATATGGTAAGAAAATTATGGCAAACACCTAACAAACCCAGTCTTGTGTGATCACAATATTTTAGTAAATCTTCTACAAGTAGAATTAATTACTAAATTATGTACAAACACTAAATTGAATGTGAAAAGTTATCACAAGAAGCAATTCTTGATTTAGACTTTGAAAAGTTCCAATTAAATAAGCACATAATAATTTAGAGTAGGAGTTACATGTTAGAATCCATCAATATTCTAAGTGTCTAATCCACTTGTAGCCCACTATTAGTTTTTCTTGAGGAAGAGAGACACAATGCTAAGTAGCAAATATTCTGGTGCTACGTCCTCTTTTTGGTCAAAACAATACGTGCTAGTGAGTTTTCAGATTGGTAATTGAAAAATAATCAGTATTTTTAAATTTATTAAAAAATAACTACTATTTTGATGCAATACAGAAAGTTCCATCATAATATACCGGAGATTGGAGCATATCTATATGAATTTTCAGCATATTATGTTGGAACTCCAGCATATGAAAAAGTCCAGCATAATATACCGGATATTAGAGCATCTGTGTATGAACTTTCAGCATATTATGTTGGAGTTCCAGCATAATATACTGGAGATTGGAGCACTTGCGTATGAATTTCCAGCATATTATGTTGGAGCTCCAGCACACGGAAAATTCTAGCATAATATACTCGAGATTGGAGTACAAACACACGGAAAGTTCCAACATAATATACTCGAGATTGGAGCACCTGTGTATGGACTTCCAGCATATTATATTGGAACTCCAGCACACAGAAAGTTCCAACATAATATACTGGAGATTGAAGCAACTGTGTATGGACTTCCAGCGTATTATGTTTGAACTTCAACATATTATGGAATTCCAACATAACATGCTAGAAGTTCACATGTAAAAAATTCGAACTCCAGCATATTATGCTAGAATATTTTCGGATTTTGAACAGTTATTTTTGTTCAGATTTATCTTTTACATGAAAATGGCTAAATTTTGATTACTTTTGAAACTATGGCTATTTTTCAATTACCACTTGTAAATCTAGTTATTTTTGAATTTCTCCCTTCTTTTTGTATAAAGCTACCAGCAGGCCCGGGCGGAGCCAGAGACAAATGGGATTCATCCAAACCCCATTTGTCAAAAAATTACATTATATATATTAGGCCAATTTTTTCCCCATATATATATATATAGTAAACGTTAAATCACCTTGATTTTTTGTATGTTTACTTCTTTATATTTTGAACCCTTGAAATATGACTCTGCAAAGATATCAGATTAAAAAGATAGATAAAACTGTAAATCATGATTAATTGATTATATCCTACTAATAACTACATATTATATGTTTTATTTGTATGGTGTAAATATTAGATGCGGATAATTTTTTACCATTCCGGACCCTCTCTGCCAACATGTGATAGTACTACAACATAATCTATTATACAGATCCATATATTGACCATTCATCCCACTAGCCAACCCTTATGCATTTATGAATCAAATTAAAGATCCAACAATATTCAACATGGAGCAGCAAATTTTGAACTGACTGAATCAACAATAAAAATGAGGGCAAAACGACTTGACAGGTTATTGCCTATAGTGGTGTTTAATTAAGGTCCACACGTATTTAAAAGTGTTGCTTAGAAGTCAATAAAGTGAGCGTAAAGTACAAATATAATAGAGACAAAAGATACTAGTACGTGAATTTTTTCTATTTTTTATGACTCGATTGACAAAGTTATATATCGTAGTGGTAGGAGGTAACAGATATATGTGGAATAGTCGAAGTGTACAAGTTGGTTCGAACACTTGTACTGATAGAGATAATAAGTACTTAGCGGAATAGCTTGCCTGGACACTTGTACTGCTGATGGTCAAGCGTTGGACTAATGGTCAATAAAGTGTGCGCAGAGTTCAAATTACAATAAAAACAAAAGATATTAGCGGGTGATTTCTTTCTATTTTTTATGCTTTGATTGGCAAAGTTATATAATGGTGGAAGGTAGCAAGTATCGAGTGAAATAATCTAAGTGCACAAGCTAGTTGAACATTTGTACAAGCATAAGTAATAAGTACCTTGTGAAATAGTTGGTCCGAACACCTGTACTAGCAAGGGTACTAGTACCTAGCGAATAGTTGAAATGCACGTAAAGTATATGTACTATAGCAGGTATTTGCTGGAATAATACTCAAGGTGTGGAAGCTAGTCTGATTATCTGTAATGAAGGGAGAAAAGTAGTATTTGGCGAGCAATTAATACACGCGGAAGTTGGTTCAGATACCATAATTATATATAAAAAAAGACCCACAAGTCAAAGGTAAAAAAGTGTGTACAAGCTGGTTCGAACACCTGTACTGATAGAGATAATAGATACTTAGTGGAATAACTTATCCGGACACCTTTACTGCTGAAGGTACTAGTACCTCGCAAAATAGTTGAAATGCGCGTAAGCTATGTACTATAGCAGGTATTCGCTGGAATAATACTCGAGGTGTGGAAGTTAGTTTGATTATATGTAATGATGGGAGATAATAAGTATTTGGCAAGCAATTAATACACGCGAAAATTCGGACACCATAATTATTAAAAAAGAAAAAAAAAAAGAAATAATAAGACCCACAAGGCAAAGGTGAGAAAGTGTAAAGACCAGTCCCCAGTATGCTTGCCCATATTGCTACCCTACAATTCCAACCCCTAATGACCACTCAATACAATACACATTTTTGTCACATTAAATTCTCACCATCCCTACAGCTGTGCTACTTGCTCCTATTTCAATGGAACAAATTTGACTCTAACTGTGTGCATTTAAAATAAAAATAATCTTCTCTAAGTAGTTGTAGAATTTTTTTTTTCATTTGGTGTTCGATATTCGCTTTAGAACCCGCTTAGTTCGAATTCACGCCAAGTGTTTTCAACCAAATATGATTCCATACCCAGGGTTGAACCTGAGATCTTTGATTAGAGGCGGACTCAGGATTTGAAAGTAGCAGGGACACCACTGTCGAAAAAAAATTGAGCAAATGCTAGAATCAGAATCGAACCACATGGCACACTAAAATTCAAGTTGTGTCCTCCAAATCAACTAATGCAGCTGCTTACCCGTTATTTAAGATGTATACACATATATACATACATTTTTTCCGAAGTTACCGAGAGTCGATAACTTCTTACCCAAGGATAGGTCCGCCTTTTCTTTAACTAAGGATATATGAGTACTTACTACTCACAACCTTCGAGGATAAGTAGTTGTAGAATTAATATAAATATTTATTCTTTTCTTTCTTTTTTTTATTTCTATTTTCATCTATATATATGTCAAAACAGCCCATGTTATCATAGTACCTTTAATTTACTTTCTTGAGAAACAAAACGAACTCAGAACCACAGAGCAAATCTCAACTACCAACACAACAAAATCTTCCTCCCATTCTTTCTCTGAGGTTCTTTTTTTCATCTTGGGATCTGTTCTTATCTTCTATTTGCTCTCAAGAGCAAAACTCTAATCAGAAAACAAATATAAGAAGAAGAAGATTTTGAGTATTTTTTCTTGTTTAAACATGGAAGTTCCATTGTCAACTTGGCCATGGGGCAACTTGGGAAGTTTCAAGGTACTTAAAATTCCAAATCTTCTATTTATCTTCTTTTTTTTTTTTTTTTACTGCTCTTTCACTACCAAAAACATGCATTTTTCCGACGGACTTCTGTTCCGTCAAACTATGTTGCTCGGNTTTATCTTCTTTTTTTTTTTTTTTTTTACTGCTCTTTCACTACCAAAAACATGCATTTTTCCGACGGACTTCTGTTCCGTCAAACTATGTTGCTCGGACTCTACAAAAATATCGCCAAGTGCGTTTTGGATCCTCCAAAAATACCAGGGTATTTTTGGAGGATCCGACACAGGTGCGACAATATTTTTTGAGAGTCGGCATAACATAACTATAAAAAATGTGTTCGTCGAAAAACGACCTTTCGTCGGGGATTTCGGCCACTAATATTTGTATTAGGGTTGACTGTCTATACCATACCCTTGGGGTACGATGCGGTTCTTCCCCGAAACCAGCATGAATGTGGGATACTTTGTCTATCGGACTGCTCTTTTTCTATTTTGACACAAACGTCCATCGGAAAAAAAACTGTGTTTCCTAGTAATAAAAGGGCAGACCGGTACACAAAGTATCCTGCATTCACGCAGGGTTTGGAAAAAGGCCGCATCCCAAGTGAGTGTAATGTAGGCAGCTTACCCTGATGCAAGCATCAGTGGTTGATTCCACGACTCGAACTTAGTATTATTATTGTGTTTCCTAGTAATATTTTATTTTTATTTTTGTGGGGGGATAATTTGTACTTACTATTTTTTTCTTGTTATTTTTGGAACAGTATTTACTATATGGACCTTTGCTTGCAAAATGGTTATACTCAAGATATCAAGAAGACAATATCAAGGAAACATGGTGTCTACATATTCTCATTATATGTTTACTTAGAAGCAGCATGCATCATACCTGGAATGCTTTCAGTAGCATGTTGTTCTTGACTCGAAATAGACGAATAAACAAGGATGGTGTTGGTTTTAAGCAAATTGACAATGAGTGGGACTGGTAATTTGAATCTTCTTTTTTTAATTTATCTGTATTCTTGAAGTGGAGAGAAGGGGAGTCTTGGAGCAACGGAAAAGTTATCCCTGTGTGACGTATAAGTCACGGGTTCGATGTAGTCACGGGTTTGAGCCGTATAATCAGTCACTAATGCTTGCATCAGGATAGGCTGCCTACATCATATCCCGTCGCATCTCCCCGGATCCTGCATAAACAAGGGATGCTTCGTGCATCGGGCTGCCTTTTATACTTGAACCGGAGCCTTGGAGCACCAATAAAGTTCTCCGAATGACCTGTACGTCACGGGTTTGAGTCGTGAAATCAGCCACTTATCCCACTCCCTTGGGATGTTGTCCCTTTTCGAAATTTGCGTGAATGCAGGACGCTTCGTGCATAGGCTGTCGCCTTTTTTTCGTTCTTGAACTTAAATTTCGTTTGACTTTGTAAATCCCGAAGAAGTTATTGTATACGCCCTAATCAGCAATATATTGGCGATATAAATTCCTTAAGGACAGTAATTATACTATCAAAATCTTTATTTTCGTTTCCGAAAATTTGGAACTAATTACAATTTTGTTATTTTTTCAGGGATAATTTCATATTGCTTCATGGTATAATGGGTTCAATAGTTTTCTACATGCTTAAAGACCTAATCAATATTCCTTTATGGGATTTCAAAGGATTTTTGGCTGTTGCAATTCTCCATATAGCAATTTCAGAACCCCTTTATTATTTCTTGCATAAAAAATTTCATGGAAGCTATTTATTCAACCATTATCATTCACTTCATCACTCCTCACCTGTACTCCAACCCTTTACAGGTAATCTCTTCATTTAAATATAGATTGTTTTTATATTAAATAATTGTGAATATTTTTTACACTATTAATATGTTTTAACATGTGTAGTAGGTCATTACATGCCTTTTTACTTGTTACTAATCTCAAATATTATGTGTTGTTACTTGTAGCTACCTTTTAGGTGATCTGATAGCGTAAACAAATATTTTAAACTGATAGTTTAATGAATAGTGTATACTATTAAATCACCTAAGAGATAATTACAAATAATTGTCCATATTGAATACATCTAGCAACGTGAAAAATAAGCAAGACAACGGCCTAATAGAATAGGCTAAATAATACTAATAGTGTAGTTATGTTTTAGGTGATTTGATAGTGTAAACAAACGTTTTAAACTAAATTGATAGTCTAAATGAATATTTTATATTATAAAATTACCTAAGAGATAACTACTGGTAATTATCCATATTGAATACATCTCGCGACTTGAAAAATAAGCGAGACAACGGCCCGATACAACAAGCTAAATAATACTAATAGTGTAGTCACGAGTTCGAGCCGTGGAAGCAACCATTAATGTTTGTATTAGGGTATACTGTCTGTATCACACTCCTAAAGGTGCGATCCTTCCCTGGACCCTGCATAAATGTGAGATGCTTTGTGTACCGAACTACCTTTTTTTTTTAATCTTTACACTGTCAGTGAATATGAGTTATACATATCCAAACTTTTTATATGTATAATATTTGTGATGTTCTAAACTTTTTCTCCTTGTGTTTTGTGGAAATTCAGCTGGACATGCTACACTTTTGGAACACATTATATTAGCTGCAGTGATGGGAATTCCAATTTTAGGAACTTGTTTGATGGGATATGGATCAATAATTATGATATATGGTTATATATTGATCTTTGATTGCTTAAGATGTTTGGGACATAGCAATTTTGAAATTATTCCTCATCAACTATTTCAAGCATTTCCTACTCTTAAATATCTCCTTTACACCCCAACGTAAGTGATTACTTATTTCCTTTTGATCCGTTTTACTTGTCATGTTTGATTTTTACACGTCCTTTTCCGACTAATAAATAAATTATTGTCAATATTTTGAACAAATATATAAGCCTTTTAGTTATTCATTTTTTAATTTTTTTTAAAAGAATTGTAAATTTTATGGACAGACATATTTTTGAATTTTTTTATGGACAAACGGGGCCTTAGTTTCAGTAATTTGTGCAGTATATAAATGTCAAACTCTGTCTATCACAAATATCATTATTTTCCGGTCCAAAATATTAGTAATTGTTTTGACAAATTGAATTTGTCTCAAAGTATTTGATGTTGTAAAGAAAAAAGAACTTTTCTTAAATTTATTATTCTTATTTCTTTAATTAATGAAATGTTAATTAAGTGAAATATTTAAAAAGGAAATAAAATATATTTTAGACAAATAATATTATCATTAATATTATTTCATACTTCTCTAAAGCTACACAAAAACTTTAAAGATGGCCATTTCTTGAGAATGCTTTAATGTTTTCAGCAGTTTTTTGTGGCATATTAATTAGCAATAAATGCACTCTATATGAAAAAGTGTATTTACAACAATTATTATACTTTCAAGGAATTATGTGGTTGAAAAAAGTTGGTGCCTCCCTCTGGCAAAGACAACTAATAAAATTTAATGCCATTGTCTCAAATTATATTTTTTATTAAAAAAAAAAAAGAAATTTTCCTTTTTGCTCATCTATCCCAAATTTATTTTTCTATTTTTTTAATAACTCATTTATTGTCATTCTTTCCTCATTTTTTTGGCCATAATATTGACAGGTATCACAGCTTACACCACACAGAAATGGGGACCAATTATTGCCTCTTTATGCCACTTTTTGATGTTTTAGGAAATACCCTTAACCCAAAATCATGGGAAATGCACACAAAATTAAGTCTTGAATCAGGTATATACTTATTTTAACATAGCCCAATGATATTTGATTAACTTTTATATACTGATAATATAATTAGGATAGACTGTCTACGTCACACCTTTTGAGGTACGACTCTTCCCCGGACTTTGTAATGTAGAATGTCTTGTGCATCAGACTGTCATTAATATATACTGACAATATAATTTTTTTTTTTATATAATACGTATAGTTTAACATGTTATAGCAAGCAACTCATTGTAGTTTTTAGATTATTAATGATCTCTTTTAAGCTACTACAGATATCTTATTTGATCGACTCTAGAGTTAGATTAGATTAATAGGGATCTTTACATAAATAGCCAATTATATTCATTGTTTGCTTTTTCTAGCCATCTACATAGTTTATACATTAATTATACATAATTATACACATATAATACTATGCATATATTACACATTCGTTGATTATTTTTAGTTTAAGCTGTTGGGCGGGCGGTTATTTGTGTTAAGTTTATCGAGGTTAACTTACTTTCTTTTCAAGATTATGTAAATATATTGACTTTTCTCGAGAACTTAAATTTATTGATGCAAAAGTACTCAATCTTTAATTGATTAATATAGATTATAAAAGGTATTGTACGGAATTAGAAAATGTTATTTCTATTCTTAGAAACTAACATAGCTCTAATAAGGTTTTTCATATAAATTTCAAACTATAGTAACCGAGACAAGGACAAGTTATAAAAAAGGAAACATAGTAGCCCAAGGACAATTAATGAGACAGCTATTCACTAGAGAAAAAGCAAGTTGAATAATTTTATCACTATATATGAGTTATTAATATGCCTTAGATCTTTAATATATGTAACTCTCAAAGTTTAATTAATCGATTTAGTGCAAACATTGAGTGTCAAAAAAATTTCATGCAATATTTCAAATGTATCTATTGACTCAAAATCTTGAATCCATCTTTATGTTATGTACTAGTGAAACTTAATTAACATTAGGAAAATATTTTTATCATATGGTGAGGAAAATTGTCGTCTACGCGGTTGTGCACATATACTATTTTTATACTGGGATCTTTATACAAATAGTTGGTCCGATTCATTACTTATTCTTGTTAGTCAATATACATAAAAAAGTTCACTGATTATACATGATTTTATACATATTATATATTAATTGTATATATTATATATCCAACATTCTAACTTAAAAAGATTCGAGTGAAAGCGAGTTATATTGCATAATGTCCATCAATAGTACTTTAGCTTTATCAATCAATCTTCTTTCCTTTGATTTTATTATCGGCTGGTTCGGAAGGCTGGTTGATATTACAATATATCAGCCAGTTAAGATTCGAACCCCCAACCTTACTAGTGACAAAATTCTCACTTATGTTATTACTTCCGATACTAGAAGGGGCAATAATCACATCTTATTAATCGATCGAAACCGAAACTTTAACACAACCTTTTCCGATCCCACTAGAGGGGAAGACCCCGTATTATACGTCGACTATTTTTAGTTTAAGCAGTTGAGTAGACGACTATCTAGTTAATTCTTCTTCAATTCAATTTATTTGCTTTCAATTTCAACTGTCCAAAATCCAAATGGCTACTAAAACTTCTACTATTACAAAATTGCAGGCAAAAATGGGAGGGTGCCAGATTTTGTATTTTTGGCACATGTAGTGGATTTAACATCAGCAATGCATGTTCCATTCCTATTCAGATCATTTGGGTCAAAACCATTCAGTACAAGGCTCTTCTTGCTTCCTTTATTGCCCTTTGCTTTTGTAGTTATGTTGGTTATGTGGGCATATTCCAAGGTCTTTTTGAACTCTTTCTACAACTTAAGGGGTCGATTGCATCAAACTTGGGTGGTTCCTCGCTTTGGTTTTCAGGTTTGTAAATATTCTTTTTTTATCCCTCGGCGTTACTGGTAAAGTTGTTGTCATGTGACCATGAGGTCATGGGTTCGAGCCGTAGAAACAGCCTCTTGCAGAAATGTAGGGTAAGAATGCGTACAATAGACCCTTGTGGTTCGGTCCTTCTCTGGATCCTGCACATAGCAGGAGCTTAGTGCACCGGGCTGCCCATCTTTTATCCGTCTATTCATTTTATAATTGAGAAATCCAGAGAATCAGCTACGCGTGGTTCGGAACTCGACCGATAATGACCTGTCTTTCTAACCTTCTCTACTTAAATACCAAGCTTTTATGCCGACAAAGTTCGAATATGTGACGTGCGTTTAACCTAATATCACGCAATGTGCTCTTAGCTCTACCTTTTTCACTTTCAGTTATTTTGAAGGGAACCTTATAGCAACTGTAAAGTTGTCTCTGTATGGCCAATAAGTCACGAGTTTGAGCCGTGTAATCAGCCATTGATGTTTGCATCAGGGTAGGCTGTATACATAACACACCTTTGGGGTGCGTAAACGCAGGATGCTTCGTGCACCGGGCTACCCTTATATAGTCCAGCTCTTCCCCAGATGCTGGAGCTTAGTACACCGAACTGTCTTTTTTATTTCTTTCAAGTGTTGTTTAATTCACATTATTTATTATCTTTTTTTGGTGAATTTTGGTGTGGCAGTATTTCCTGCCATTTGCAGCTGAAGGGATTAATAATCAAATAGAACAAGCAATCCTTAGAGCTGATAGATTGGGAGTCAAAGTTATTAGCCTTGCTGCATTGAACAAG